CGTGTTGAAAGTTGGACTTACCACTTATCTGGTAGTAACTGCAATGAGGAATGTGAACCAAATCTTGTAAGACTTCCTCCAGCCTCTATGGGCGTCCTAAACCCCCTTGGTGAGGCGGCGTGTTCTGGTGGTCGGCAGCGCTCATGAACCGGCAGCAGATACTGTAGTACAAGTTCTCACCTGACTAGTTTCAAGTAGAATAAGAGAACTCAGGGTGATGCTGCTGCTGCTGCTGCTGCTGCTGCTCAGAGCCAGTGGGAACAACCATGGCTAAGCCCAGTCAAGCCAGAGACTCATTAGTCTTAGCCTGAGCTAGAACCTGGGCCCAGGGGAACCACAGTGTGTGTCAGAAATAGGCTTTGTCTGATTGATTACACTTCAGTAATTTTTTGTAGGATAACATACATTAGAAATGTATAAAAGGGCCATCCTGTGGCCCACATTTATCAGATACAGACTGAAGCTACTTTCTCTACTCTACTAGGTTTTTTCATTAAAAAAAAAAAAAAAGTAAAATTTAGTAAATGTGCCGCTGCCCTATAAGAGTCAGGAACTACGTTAAATGACTTAGTGCTAAGACGGTCCTTGGTTCCGATTCTGATATCAACTCAGACACCGATATATGCAGCCGTGTGGGTTAAATGCAGAGGACACATTTCATTGTGTGCATTGGACAATAATTCACCTTCACTTCAAAACTATTCTTAGGTCACATCATCTGTGCGAAACACAGGGGTTGCATTATCGGGTTTTCATTATCGGAGGAAAAACCGATAATGATTCTTACTGATGTTACATAATTATACTAACACCGGCCGATCATATCTTGAGACTTGACTTGTGAACATTTTTATATCATAGGTATCATTAATCATCTTTATTCACAAAATCACAGAACTCTTTTGGTCTCCTGAACCTCAACAGGTTTTTCCTTTCTCTGTGTCCCAGTCGTAGTACACGTTCAGTCAGGTAACCCAGTAGAACACCAGGGCCAGGCAGAAACAGTCCACACACGAGATGAGACAAAGAGAAGCACAAAGGCAAACAGATTTGGACCATGTGAACATGGAGCAACAGCAACACAATAGTATGACTACTGTAGAAATACAATACAACAGCAACATAGACTGACCAATCAGCCCACACCAACAAAGACACACTGAGGCAGAGAGGTATTTATACCCAAGGCACCAGGTGAGACGAGTTAAGCTAATGAACAGGGAATCACAGGACACACAGGTGAGAGTGAGGACACTGATTACCACAGAGAGACAGACAGGTCTGACAGTATAAGGTAATACGTAATACCCATAAATGAAGAACAGCCAAGTCTTACAGTTGAATTAGGGCTCTTTAAAATGTTTTATTTCTGAGGAGGAAACACCTTCAGCTGACCTCTGTCCTCCACTGTGACCGCTGCCCCCTGCTGCTGCAGCAGCTGCCAAGAGCTCCCACAGTGTTAGGTATGGAGATGGGGACAATAGGATAGCAATAAAATTAACATTGTAAGACTAAACTATGACCTGCTATCAAGCGATCAACAACTGGCGGCCCCGGGCACCGAATACGTCCCGCCGAATCATCCAATTGGTCCCGCAACTGGATTCCAAATAATAATGTGTCTTTTATTTCATTTGATTCGAGTGTCTTTTATAATAATTTGTATTTTATTTAATCCTTAAAAATATGTTTAAGGCGGTATTGTTTCTGAAATGTGTTGTTAATGGTAATTCCTATTTGGTCTGACGATTTATGTAAACTTCGGACTGACAAGAAATCCAACTTTCTTAGCAAACAGTTGCAAAAATCCGATCCGTTTTGGCTCCTGAATGAAACGAAAACGTTCGAAGATGCTATGCTAACATGACAAGACAGGCTTGTTTTTGTGTGTGTAAGTTCAGCCTTTAAGTGTAATGTAAAAACACTCATGTAAATGCTGAAGGGCTCAGGCGAGTGGCTGCTCCAGCCTTAGTCATGAATTTAAAACAGAGTTCATGTCACAGGTATCTGGTTCTCATGAAAAGATGTCAACCTTGGGTTGTTTTATTTTTTTCAAACATTGCTCATAAAGTATGCAGAACAACAACCAGAGATCGTGGTCTTCTGGCGGAACTCCTCTGCCAGGACGTGTTTTGCCACATGATTATTTATTTCTGCGTGAGCAGCAAAGTAAAAATAAATTGAGGTCAAAAGTTTGGCGATACAGCAACACACAGAACCGCCTGGTCAGCGGCTGCGACGACTGCTGACTTCGTGCTCGTCTGTCGCTGCTCCCTCTGCGCTCTCTTCGTGGCCCATTGTCTCTGTCCCGGCACATTTAAATTATTGCTATCCATTTTTAGCTGCTTTACAAAGACACAAAACATTCAGACCTTGTTTGCACTTGTGCATTTTAGAAAAAAAGGCGATAGGGAAAAAAAAAAAACATAATCAGATTTTTGTTCTGCACAGAGTATCGAGTCCCATTTGCGGTGAAGTATTTCAAATTTTAAGAGGGGAAAGCGTGTGTCGTTTAAGGTGAGAAGACTGGTATTACACTGTGGGTGAGAATCATGGCAGCCTCACAGGCACCAGTGCCTGATTTACTCTCACAGATGTCCTTTACCGTACACTCACTAAACTGAAAAAAAAGAAAGAAAAGTTTCCCTTCATTTCCTTTGCTTTATTCCCATCTTCCCATGCAAAAAAAAAGTTGCTGCTCGGAGAGAAATCTGTTGATGAATAAAGCACTCATACAAAGTGAGTTGCTGACAGCTCGGCAGACCTGGGGGACCAATTCATTTGCTGCCGCAAGTATGATGTGTGTAGATCAGTCCCTCAGATTTCCCAAATGCCTGAGCACTTTGAAAGAGTCACGGGCCTCATGCTGCCACAGGAAATTCTGCATCTCTTCAGATGAATGGCTGCTGCGGAGCCCAGAGCCCCCCCTGCTGCTGTAACCCAGGATTCCTATTACCTGACTTTATTATTCAACCATCCACTGCATACATTTTTGCATTTCCTTTCTGAACTACAGGCCATTGGATTTACCTCTGTGTTTTTTTTTATGACTTCAAAAAACAATCATCGGTGGGAAACAAGTATTGATCCAGTGACTCTTCTTGGTTTTTGTGATTTAGACCCTTACATCATTTTTGGCAACTCCTTGTGGAGTAATATGAAGGAGCTGTGCTGGAGGTTGTCAAATATAAGTATGAGAGATGATTAAAAGAGGACAAAGTTAAAGTTTAGTCTCAGGGTCTCAAAGTGAAGTGTCATTTCAGTGAGAGCCACATTAGTGTTAGATCTTCAATATAAAAATACATATTTTAGACACTGTATAATGCAAAAAGAACAGCCAGGAGAAATAAAAAAAATGTCCTCATGGTCAGAATTTATTTATCATTACATCTAGATATAGACCAGATGTGGGGGGTCTCACGGGCCACAGTTTGAGACCCCTGCTTGAGTCTATCAGAAACGACAATTCAAATCACCTTCACACCTTCGGAGTAAACAGTTTACCTGTTTATCAAATGTTATTTCCTGAGTTTGGACTAAGGGGGAACCAGATGTTCCAGAACTCCAAACACAAAGACCAGGGATCAAACCAGCAGTAACGTCGTAGCCAATCATTCTGTGTCTAACAATGTGTGACTAACCATCAGCCCTCAGTGTTGTTGACCAGGGTCAGCAACGACAGCTGATTTTTCTTGTCAAAACCTATCAATAAAATGATCGTCCCCACAACTGTGTCTAACGCTCACTCAAATGATTAGGTTGCTAATTAAACCGGTGTGTACCACAGACTTAGCCGTGATATTCACGTCACCGCCTTCATGTGTGGTGCAGCAAACACATTGATTTTGTTGTTTACTCATAGAGAAGAAAAATCAATTTCCATTTGTTTCAGCTCTTTGACCAGCCACTGGAACAGTCTGAGGACAGGGTTCTGACAAAGAAAAATGAATCTTTCTGTAAAGTTTTTTTATTCTATCTTAGGAGACGGACAAAGAGTATTTGGACATGTGACAAAAAAATTCTATATTTGGTCTTTTACATGTTTTACATGGCTGTAGTAAATGATTTTTCTTTTTTTTCAGATGTTGACTTATGTTATGTTAGTCGACATCTAAATGCTCCTTCAGGGAGCAATGTGACTGAAGTGATGTGGACTAGGGATGTTCGATACCAATGCCGTTATCAGTCCGATATCTTCTGTTCTCCTCCAGCGTGGGCTGCCGTTGCTGATGCGATGGTTCCATGTTTATGCCATGTTGGCTACGTTATCTGTGTCTTTGACTCCATCTCTTGATTTCCCTACTTTCAATGTATATCAGGCAGACCCAAAAGCCGGTGGGAACAGTTCTAGTGATACAGTATAATATCTCCAAAGGGTGCTGGCAGTGATCGCTCAACAAGGTTCTGAGGACAAGAAGGCTAACACAAGAATTGCTATGGTCACGATAACGACACCAGACCTCCCTCTATGATCTACTCTGTGCCACATGGCACAAGACTGTGGAGCTGGGACTCCAGTTGATTAGAAGGAACCGCCTTCAGGTGTGCAGCTCATCAGCTCAGGAATCAGCACAGCTTTGAAACACAAGCCTCTGCCTTCTGTTTCACCTCAGCTCTTCTCATGATCTGCTCAGTTCTAGTCCTGTTGGTTCCACTGTATTTATTCAACACATCACCATCTCTGTCTCCTGACAGACGTCACCGTCACCAGACCGTACGTCCTCGCAGGTCCCACTACTGTCTTTGAGAATTTCCTGTCAATCCAGCTGTTTTCGTCCGTCACCTAAATTGTCCTCATGTTACCTAAAGTGCAGCAGCACAAAAAGGCCTCCAAATGACACTCTCCACCATTAGACATGACGAGTGCTCCCGCTCCTTCAACGAAGCTTGTTTGAGCCCACTCCACAGACTGTCTCACTCTCCCCTGCAGCCAGAGTAATCAAACACAATCCTCAGCTCACAGACCTGACACTCCATTTCCTGAAGTCATTCTAAAGTCATGTCGGAGATGAGGACAATTTATCCAAACGTCATTTTATTCAGAGCGAGTTTGTAAAGAAGCTGTCTTTACAATTGGAATATTTCACTGCCAAGTAGGAGGAAAGACAAACATTTACATGTGAGGGGAATACCTACATCGGTAAAAAAACATTTGAGTTTCTGTCAGTGACGGCACTCAGACCATTACCACTACAAGAGAGTAGAGCAGTTTAATGACATCAAAAAACACCGATGAACATTATTTCCATGCAACTGTTGAATCTTTACAAAACATTAAAAATGTTACAATCACAGTGAAAGTGAATGGCTGTGTATCTAGAGCAGGGGTCCCAAACCCCTGGCCCCGGGGGCCACCTCTGGCCCACTGACAGTTTACACCCAGCCAAGAGCTTACATTTTTGCCCTTGAAGAAATGTCTGTTCATTAATATTAATAGTTTAATTAGTCTGGTCTCACTGTTGTACTACACAGTATTTACATTGAACAAAACACACTTTTTCTAAACTTTTATGGTTTATTATACATCAAACACTGTGGTAAACCTCTGAGGGAACGACGATGGCAGCAGTGGCCCACGGGTCATGGGTATTTGAGACCCAAGATCAGAGTAGCAGAGTAAGGCTTGTCAGGGATACACAATACAGTATTACTTCAGCAGTATTCGTTTAAGCCTTAAGCCAACCAGATCACAAAAAATCTGCATATACAGGTTTTATATTGACTTCGTCTTTTGGTCCAGTGTAAAATACTCTGGTATTTTGGCAGATGTTGAATTTGCTCTGATGTGGAAGGATGTTTGAATCCCACAGCAAATATTAAATTACAAAGTATGTTTTCTTAATAACACAGGTCTAAAACACATATTTTCAAAATAACAGTTTCAAATTTTTATCAAAATGTTTTATGCAGGTTCCTGGGAATCTGACCAATTACTGTAGCTCCGTACAGACAAAGAAAAGTTTCAATCGTCAATTGTAATTACAAACAAGTAGCTATTTCCCAAAATACCTTCTTTAGCATTTCTTACAAAACCATTTCCCCGAAGCCATACTCCAGATGCAAAGATGATTAATTCATTCTTATTAATTTCTATAACAACATATTTAAAATTTAATGTCCTGTAATGGATTTCATTTAATTTCTTTTTCAATACATCAAAAACTTTTTTTGTCCGATCGATCCGAAGGCTCAGACATTCGAAGGCATAGAAACCACATGACGCGTTTCTTCAACGTCACAGGTTGAGCCACCGTTCAACAATCAGGCTTCGTGATATAAAATGATATGTAGATTTCCTTGTTCTATTGTCAGGTGCGTATAAAACCACTGGGGAAAAAAATAAGTTAATAAGCAACCTTTGTACACATCTTACCTCATAGGTTTATGAGTCCATTTCATATATAAAACGTCAGTCTGAAAAATATCAACCTGATGTTGCGACTAACTCCCCGGTAACGAGTTAACACCAGGGGGAGCTGTGTGCAATGATGTGGTTTCTACTCTGACAGTTTTGAATGACTAATAATACAGCTACAATCATGGAGAGAGAGGGTAAGGGGGAGAGAGCGAGAGAGAGAAAAACACGTCCTCTAAATGTTCTGCATGATAATATATATATTTATATATAAAAACATATGTAGAATATACACTATATGTACACATTTTTAGTAACGTTCAATCAATGGTAAATAAGAATGGCAGTGTGTGGAGTTGGCTATGTAACACCGAACCTGTGGTTCCAACGGATGGCGTTTGTGTTCACTTCTCTTTTTTTTTTGTTCGTTCGAGACCGTTTTGATGCAAACTGTGTTCTTGGAGAGGCAAAACTGGAGGTCAATTCTCCTCACGCCGGGATCTGAGCCGTGTCTTTGATATCAACAGGCGCCCTCTTCTCCTTTTGGCCGGCGTACACTCCGATAAAAGAACCGTCCTCGTTGAACTGGGCGTCCTCTTCGCCGTAGTCCACCAGGCTGTCCCCGCTGTCCCCCACTTTGATCTCCCTGCTCAGAGACTGCTGGCTGCCCTTCAGTGGCTTCTCATCGTTGTCGCTGTGAGAGGGAGTGAGAGAGAGAGAGAGAGGCGCAGCTGAGAGAGAATCTTCCTCATTTCATCCATGGCTTCTTACAGTAAGACAGGCTGCTGAGTTTGACCGTCACCTCCTCTGTGTGGTGGACATTTGTCTTCACTCCTGGCTGAGCTTCACACTGATGACTATTCACAGACTAATGACTACCACTGTCTACACAAACCACAGTGCTTGAATAACAAACAACAAGGTGCTGAAACACAAACCACAGTGCTTGAATAACAAAGGTAACAACAAGGTGCTGAGACTGAAGCTCTGTAATGCTCGGCTGATGATGTCGTATTCAAACGTTTCAACCTTTGTTGAGGGAAACGGTGACAATGTAGAGCTGAACTACACTCCACGAAACACAAATGTGATAGAACACAAACGCTGCTCGCATGAGGCATTTGATTGCTTCCATTTGCGTGCGCTAATTAGCAGTTAGCTATCCGTATTGGTCAAGAGGAAAGAATGATAATTAATATAGGTTATGGGTGGACTGTAGCTGTGAAAAAATGCATTACTATTACTATCTTACTATTTTAAGCCTGAAATGTTTAGTGTGGATTTCATATGTAATTAAAGGCAGTACTGTTACTTTAAGGTGGCAGGTCAATTAGTAGAGAGACTGCAGCAAAAGGGACTTTAAATGTATTCCAACAGTATGACCCGACTTTGAACTCCATACCAATTTATGTGAGGAATTTAAAACAAAAAACAAAAAAATAGCTAGTACAATGGACACTTTACAGCAACAACCAAAGCCAAAATGCTTTTTGATTTCATCCCACCGACAGAATCTGTTGTTCTCTGAATATCCCACTGGCTGTGGAATTGCACCGGGCCTTCTGCCGCACTAGACTGTTATGAATTGGACAACTTCAGGATTAATGAATCGTGCCCAGATATAACTGCCCCAGAGATGAGCTTCTTTCAATTACACTGATTTGTTTTAGCCTCCAGCTGTGTGCTGTGAGGCTTCTGTTCTGCTCCACGAGGACAGAAAATGGCTGCATTCGAGCGCTGCTGTAAATCCCACAGTGATGTAGCGTCTAGCACGTCTAATATCAGCACTAAACCAAATCAACAATCACCACATCCTACAAGGGAGAGGCTAATAGATGCACCGCACTAATGTGTAAACAACACAGGGATATCACTGATGTATGGCACGTACAGATCACTTTGTTACATAATTCATCAAATGTCTCAGACAGTGGAAGTGAGAGGCTTCTTCTGAACCTCCTGCACACGCTGTGGTCTTTCGGACAAGAAAGGAAATGCAGAAAAAAAATATAAGACAAGAATAAATAAACAACAACAAACCTTTAAAAGTTCCATTCGGCCCTCGTCTTACCTGTACTCACAGAAGGTGTCGTCATTCATGCCCTGAGACTCCACATCTGGATGAAGGTCTTCCTTTTCTTTCACTGCTCACAAAATAAAAACTCTATTAGAATTAGTCATCGGTTAATTTTAACTTCTGAATTCTTCAGAAAAGGATTTGTAAGATGCCAGCATTGACATTGGTCTTGTATTTCTTTTTAAACAGATTGACGACATTTAATAATATTTACGTAATAGACGTAGACGTCAGAGGCAGCTGCTTTATGTAAAACCAGACGACAACATTTTTTTATTATTTTTTACATAAAAATAAAAATGGTCAATATCACCAAACCAGGTTCAGGTTGATTTTAGACCACCGTTTCCCAAAGTACTGGGCAATGACACTCAGGTGAGTCGCAAGAGATGTTTATTTTGGGTCATCTTGCGTCATGTTTCTCAGGAATTTACGAATAATGGGTTTGTGAACTAAAATATGGGTCCCCAGAAAAAAAGATTGGGAAATATTGTTTTAGACCCAACTTGTAAATGTGTGTTGTTTTTTTTTTGTGTGTGTGTGTTTTGCTTTGTCCATTGCTTATTGACTCACAGTAAATGAAATCAAAAGCCAAAGAAACATCTGTGAGATAAACTGCTGCTTTTATGATCAAAAGCCAAAGAAACATCTGTGAGACTCGGAGATAAACTGCTGCTTTTATATGAACCTGCCATAGAGTTGTTTTATTCATTCAATTCAATGTGAATTAAAAAAAATATATAGTTGACGCAGTAATTCAAAACATTTCACAAGAAGCTGAACTTCCCTTGTTGCCTTAGTGTAGTTGCCACTGATTGACAGAAAAAACACCTCTGGCTCAGGCGTATCAAAGCGGAGGTTGCCGTGGGAGTGGGTGATAATGAAAGCTTAATGAAGAATAAGAACAAAGAAAGGCTTTGCTCTTTCTCCACCGTCTCCAGGCTGTCGCCACTCAGTCAGACACCTGGTGGCCATTAGCTGTGACTAATACACCGAGCGGGGTATCATGTCCACAACAGGAGTCGCTTTGACACCACTGGGCTGATGTCACAGCAGCTAGCCTCAGTGCAACATTTGCATTTGTCTCCCTGGACACTGCAGTTTGTTTGGTTTGTGGCTGGAAAAAGCTGTGAGTCTAAATAAATCAACATTCAAATGATCCGCACGCAGCAGCAGCAGCAGCAATTTTCCTGTGGCTGCAAAAGCTTATTTTTATCTATAGGTTGTTTTTTTTCAAAAACACAATAAATGCCTTAGATGTAAATGTTGCTGTTTTGGCTCCAAACAAATTATATGTTTTTTTTGTCACGTAGTAAACAGCAACGTAGCAAAAATAACATAATCTTCTTGCAGCTTTTACTATGAGGAGGAAGTGATAGGTACGTGGTACTCACCAGAGTATTTCCCTCCTTTGTTTCTGTTGACAAAGCAAGCGATCAAGATACTGAGGATGAGGAGAGCTACGGCGCTCATCAGGCCAATGAACCAGCCCTGGGTAGAGATGCCTTCGTGGCTGCTGGTCAAACCTGCAGAGAAGGACACCTGGTGACCTCTGACACACCTTGACCTTTTCACATCAGAATCTTTGATTCTTGCACATTGACGGTTCAACGAATGCAAAGGCAGCAGGTAAAAATAATGATGCTGCAACGTTAATATTAAACAGCTAATCTCGCTTGTCTAATTAATCAAGCACTGAGTGCTGTACACACGTATAATTTATTCAGCGGGACCGTGCGGCTGGGATTCTGCTGACGCTTCAAAACGCCACATGGTCACAGCTACTGCATGAGCCTGTTCACGTTCAACTTCTTACACTTTCTTTCTTATTGTTTCTTTTTTTTATTACAGAGTAATCAAATATTTTTTTAAACATTGGTTGGCCGTAGTGCATATATAATATGTGAGGAACCAAATATTCCTAATAGCGCCTCCTGTGGCAGCCTGTGTTGGTTGCAAAGACTCACACTGTGAATGTGAGCAGCTAACAACGGTGGCATGGTTAGCTGCTACACCATAAAAATGTACGCTAACCGGAGTAGAGCGGACACCACCGCAGAACCCAGAGTCGACTGTGCAAATCCTTCTACATATTTTCAACTAATATTTACCAAGCAGTCATTTTAATCTAAGGTAACATTGGACAGTGAAGGGACAGACGGGGCAGCTAAAGAATAGCAACCAAGGAAAGTGATGGTGAGGATTAAGAATAGGTCACAGCAAGTCAAAGCCATCATGGAGCGATGAGGAGAGCTGTCATTACGTGATGAAGGATGTTGCTCTTCACCTTCTGTGAAGGAGGATTGAGTGTGCTCCTGTGTTTCCTGACTCTATTGTAAGGACACATCAATAACAGCTGACAGCGCAGGACATCAGAGGAATCTCTTAAGGTACACAGGACAGGAGCGATGTGGATATGGAAATTTAACCACAGGTGAAGAATGACAGCTAGAAGATGACGTTCTAACAGCTCTCATGGTCCATCAAGGCTTGTCCAGATCTTTAGGATTCAGAAAGACCTGTTACGCAGGACGGATTATGCATTCAAAATAAATTTTACTTTGCTAAAACAATGAGATTTCACTTGTACTAAATCAAGTTCCTTTAGTTTATACTGTACATCAACTGACACAAAACTGCTGGTCAAAAATATAAAAATGATTTCAAGAATTACCCCAAAAATAGTAATAGCTTTTTACGTCAAAATATACTATTTAATTTATCTTCGGAATCACTGGTAACGTGGTTGCTAACTAAGCTAGCCAGTTTTGGAGTGAATAATAAAACTAATAGTAGTTTGAACTCTATCTACCCCACATGGGAAAGTCGTGTGTTAACAGTAGATCAGCTCCAACAGGCTGCCCCTTGGGGGCGCCAGGTATGTGGTTCCACGAGGGCTCGAACCCAGGACCCTCCGTGTGTAAGGCAGGTGTGTATAGACCCGTGATAACTTTTACATTATAGGACTACTACAGTCAGCATATTTGTACCATAGTATGTGTCATACTAATACAGTACTATGATAAAACCATTAGAGAATAGCCAATTATTTAACATATTCTAATATTATTTATTTTAATTCTAATTGTTATCAACAAAATTCAACCCTTCCATGATTTCGCATCAGTCAGTTTTTACTGAACAGAGGAGAAAGTCCAATTTAGCAGCGACTGTTGTGAATCCTCAGTGTGGTTTGGAGCCAGCTGTCCTCACTAGTCAAACAGAATCCACTTTATTTCCCCACGGCAAACATGCAAATCTCCTGATGTGTTTCCAGCTCAGGTGCCTCATTTTCTCAGGTGATAATTCGTCGCACTAGGACACCTGTGTTTGTGTTCGTGTTTCCCAACCACCGGACGTGACACTCTTTGACTAATGTTGATGGATTAGTAGCAGACTATGGAAATGCTCCTTCCTCCAGTGCTGTGTGATGACTTCAACCAACAAACAGTATGGAGCCTGCGCTAACTAAAAATATCTCCTGTTTTTTTTCCCCGTCATCACGCCTACTGACTGGTTAATGAATGTTGCAGAAAGTTGCTGTGGTTCTGGCAGGGAGCCTATGTCCTTGAGAATGACACTTAAAATTCAGCTAGGTGGCCAGAAATCTGACATTTGGCCTTGTCAATAGCTACCATTTATCTCTGCCCCCCCCCCTCCCCTCCCCCCCCCTCCCATTACGGCTCAGAAGGAGTGTTTCCCTTCACTGCGTTAACTCTGCTCTGATGCCACTCTGGACACCGTCCTTTCCCTGGCCTGCTGTTTACACAGCAGAAGATCGCATAGAAATGTCAGGTGACTGTTGGGTCAATACACCGCTGTGTACAGAGGGCCAGAGCCCAACAAATCAATCACTGACAATTAGACATATTTGTCCTATTGAAGCGCCTCAACACTTGGAAACGGATATAGATCTAGTACGCTAGATTTCCCAGGGTGCCTGGAAATTAAAAACTGCTTTTTCATTAGCATTCTCTGGCAGTGTAACGAACAGAAAACAGGGATGATATTTCACTGTTCAGCTCTCTGGGAGCCGCTGAAATATGAGCAAAGCAGAAATAAACAGACTGCGGCTGAAGGCGAAGGTACTGTTACTGTAGACAGAGTCCTTCAGTCTGAAGGCTCTAAAATGTTCTATGCTGTCAAAATTAATGTATTTACAGCACTGATTTGTTAATAATCTGATAAAAGAATTTAAGATAATTTATCCTTGCTCCAAAAAGTGGTGTCAAACATACGACCCGGGGGCCAAAACCTGCCCGCTACAGTGTTCAATCCGGCCTGCTTGATGAATTTTGAAAAAAAAAAAAAATATATTATAATATATAATATTATAATATTTAAATTAATTGTAAAATTATATTTCATTGAATATGAGTAAATAATAATAAATATCTAATATACTTGTATATGTTTGTCTGGAAACAAATGGGGAAAACATTTGTTTTCATGCGATTAAGTGTTTAAATGATAATAACACTCTCGGTACCAGTAATCCGTCTTTTTGAAATATAACTGTGGAATCACAGGATTAACCAAAATAATGTGAGCAATATTTTTATGTCAAGTTCAATCAATGCTCAGGTTTCTATCTGAAGTTTGGAGCCTGTGGCGTCACAACAAGGTGCAGCTCTACCTATAGTGGAACGAGTGGGTTTGGTCACACGGGACTTTGGAACGCTTGCAGGTGTGAGGGAAGCTGACTTGCCTGAAAAGAAAAACAAAATACAGACCTTACGGTTATTAAGTGTAAATCATAGCCTTGGGCTCTACCGTCTATTGTTAGCACACATGCAATTCTGAGCTCTAAAATTAGTAAACTAATGTCTAGAAAAATCTAGAAGAAAGAAACCAATGTTTTGTTTAGACCATCAGTGAGACATTTTAGATTATTTTTGCACACATTTCCAGTCTGATCTGTGTTGTGGCCCTTTAAGCCTTATTTATTTTGCCAGTTTACATAAATCATTTTTGGCCGTGTCTGATGATGTTTGGATAAAAGTCAATATTCGTTTACACCGGCTAATAAGACACAATTAGTTTGGCTCCATAATTAGGCAACTCATTACCATTGTTATTAGAGAGGAAACCATAAACTTTATCTGTGAGGAGAAGCTGACATTTTTCTAATGAAGGGAAGCGTCGCAGAGCTCGCAGCTGATGACAAGGGCAAACATCAGACAAGGTCATTCAACTGTGTCGGATCAACGTCTCCAACTTTTTGATTATGTACGAGGAAACAATGAATGGGATGAAATGTCTGACACTTAAACCCTGATGAATCACAACAGCCATCTTTGTGTCTCAGTATCACCATGCACTAACAGAACCACTGAGTTCTAAAGAGACCGTCAGACTACAATACAGGTTCAGTCATACAAAACCCATTTCCAATAGAACTGTGTTGATCAAGTCTGTTCTGTAGCAGGTTATCAGGGAAAAAGTCAAACAAAATATTAAATGTCTCACATTTAAGGGAAGATAGAGCCAGATGTAAGACTCAAAAGGTCATATCCCCAAACCCTGGTTCGTGGACCGATAACAGACCATGAGTCATTTTGTAAAGAATGAATAATCTACTATCCAGTCGAATTTTTCAAAATTTCAGACTCAAATACTGACATAATAAAATCTACCGATGTTTCATTTTCAAATATGTATCGATCCTTAACAATCCTTCAACAATCAGCACGGCGCTAAGGCTCCTAGGTACCGGCCAGTACTGGCTGACCGGTCCTTAGTAAAAACAAAAAAGATCAACAGCAGCTGTTCTATTTTTGTCACCATGTTTGGAAATGGGGTTTGTATATTAGAAAGAGTTTGTTCTGCTATGACGTGCAACAGTTTGGAGGTGAACACAAATCTATATACTGTGTCCAGCAGGGGGGGTCGTGGTGGACGCTGTGGGACAGAGAATAGAGAAAAAAAAACACAACGCTAAGCAGAGAGCTAAACATAAGTAACTATTCATATGGCAGACTAAAGTCACGGGTTTGAAGAGAAGCAGTTTGACTACAAATAGAGTTGAAACATAACTGATACAAACACAGACATTGACAATAGATAGATAGATAGATAGATAGATAGATAGATAGATAGATAGATAGATAGATAGATAGATAGATAGATAGATAGATAGATAAATAGACAGACAGACAGACAGATAGGTGATATATTTGGCATGTATGTCATGGCATTTATCGCAAAACAAATTCAGTTTTCCTTCGCACATGTGCCTCAAATATCAACAACAGTTGCCCTGAGCGTACGTTTGCAAAATGATGGATATGTAAAAGAACAAATAAGACCCTACAATCGCACTCATAACGACAACTTACCCACCAACTCTTTAGAATTACACAGCCTGGCACCGAGACCTCGGTTTCCCTCCTGCTAAAAGCAATTTTCTTTCTCAGCTGATTGTTTCATAGTTCAGGCTTTCTGTCCAATCAATAAGCACTTGCTCACTTGCCGACAGTGACAAATGAAAACCTCCACAGTACCCATATGAAATTGTTTATCCACAAAAATTACTTACATTGAGATATGAAAAGCCTGCCTGCCCAGAAATATATCACATTCTCAGAGTTCAACGCCATTTTCTGACAGAGAGGCGGTGACTCTCCTGGACTGAACTCTGCACAGATGATTCTACACCTGAAAATGACGCTCACTCATCCATTCACACACACACCGGCCTGACCAGCCACGCACCAGCCACTCCATCTGCTCTGAGACCCTTTACTCACTGGATTCTGAGGCGGTGGAGCACTCCTCGCTGACCACAGGCCCGCAGCCCACTGTGGTACACGAGCGCAAGTAGAACCTGTACTTGCTCAAGGGTTCCAAGTCACGTAGGATCCACTTAGTCGTGAGAGGGTTGCTGATGTCCACTGTCTGCAAAGGCTCCATCTCCTCTGTGTCGTTAACTAGGTGTAAGAGGAAAAATGGTTCAATTGTCATGAAAACACAGAAGCTATTTAAAAATCATAATCCAGCCTCACTTTAGGGCAAATTAAATAAATAGATTTAATGTTAATTAATCTGAGGGTTAATTTCTGATTTTAAAGTTAGGATTAGGGTTATATTTTTATGGCTTGTATTCAATGCAGTAGAGATCTTAGAAAAAATTCAATGCAGTAGAGATCTTAAAAAAATAAATAAATAAAGAATTACAATTTATTCTAATTAAAAGTCACATTATTTCTAGACCCTCGTCAATACTCCAGCTAAAGTTAATACACTTAAATGTTAAATCAACTCATCAATGACTTATCTGAATATCGATTTCCTAAAGCAAAAATGAATCATAGCATCTATGTCGAGAGCCTGTCTTTACCTAAATGCTAAAGTCAAATCACTGGCCTTTCAAATAAATCCAACTGACAATTACAAGACATTTAACCAATGCCAAGAAGCAAATGTCACCTGACATTTTGAAGTGGACGCCTGTTTTTTCTCCTGCCATTAATAAAAAGCATCTCTTGATATTCTGTGCTGCTTTCTGCTCAACACATTTAGAACACTAAACCACAGGGACATTAATGTAGGTTCACATCCTACACCTGTTAATGTATGACCCTTGTCAGGTTGTTGTCGACATTCTGAGTAAGTTGAGATGGAATCTAATTTTTCCACAGTGTAAAGCAGTCAGGAAGACGGCAGGGCTGGCATTTGTGTTATTTCGTGACAAAACAAACGCAGCAGGTGGCGAGGTGACCTTTGCTGTGAAAAAGAAGGCCGTATCGCTCCTGCAGCAAACAATGACAAGAACATATTGGTCTGTTTCTTTGTTCTACCTCGAATGCCACCCACCGTGATCAGAGATCAGCTCTGAAATGCTTCCCCATAACAAAGACTATTTTTGGTAAATTATGCAACTCCAGCTGATGACAACTAAAGGCCACAAATCTCCTCTCTTTACTTGCTCCGGGGACGTACCACCCAGACTTACTGAGGGCAGTGCTGAGTTTAAACGGGATGTGAACATCTGTGCTGTGAACTCTAATTATAAATTCACACGGCTTTCATGAAGTACATCTAAAATACATAAGATGTGGTTCATTTCTTCATGAGGTGACAAAGTCAGATCACTCCAAAGAGTGACAGCACATACGTCCTGAGGAAACATCATACAGAATGTATGTATGTAAGGGGTACAGAATCATTTCACTGGAAGACCATATGCACACATACATACATATACAGTATACTGTATATATATATATATTTATATATATATATAATTTGATTTATATATTGATTTATACATTATATTGATGTATAATGTACTGTAGTGCTACTCAACATTCAGCCTATTTTCAGACATATTGTATTGTTTTCCTTTACTGCATAAAGAATAAAGTACCTCTCCTTGTACTGTAAGCCCTGCTAAAAGCATTCTCTGGACAGCACAGGATTGAAAGGTCTGAACCTCCAGGGTCAGCCTCGGCTCATCCATGATTGTGACACCCAGCCGTCACCCTGACATGTTTCCTGTACATACACGGTGACCCCACACTGACCTGGACCCTATTAGAACACCATCATTTCCCCCCCTCTCTGCCCAGGATCACAGGGTTAGACAATCACCAGTGAAGATAGATCCCCTCATGTACTTCACATGTACTGCACCTCTCTTCTCAGAACAGTACTACATGACTAGTTAAGCTGCATGTCAAACAGCGCCACAGTCTGGGTCCGTATCGTGCAGTCAGTGTCGTCAGATTAAAACATACGGCCTGCGTATTTGTATGCTTGCTGACAACTCAACACGAGGCAAAAACAATATTTGGTTATAACACGCATGGAGCACCGCTAATAAATCAGAGTGAGTGTAAAAATACCCAGAGATACATACTGAGCTGATATTCAAGGAGGTATCCAGTGAGAATCCCATTAGGCTCAAATGGTGGGGCCCAGGCGAGGGCAACGGTGTGCTTCTGAACATCTGTGACCCTGAAAACAGGATTTTTCTCTGGGACTGTGGGGCAAGAAAAAGTAATACAAACAGCGGGTTACGTTTCCAACCCAGTTTTCTCACCTATTATTAGATTTTCTCTTCAGCAGTTGTGAATCAATAGACTTGGTGCTGTTATTTCCACAAACTCACCTCCCTCTGGGGTTTTGAAATTGACGGGATGGCTGCCAGGGCCGTTGCCCCTCCCGTTGAAGGTCATGACAATAAGGCTGTACTCAGAGAAGGGAGTTAGTCCTGGTATTGTGCCGTAGTTATGATCCCCAGGAAACGTCACGGCAAATTTTTCCCCGTGGTTTTTCTTCGAGTCCACGAGGCTGCGAAGACGCCACCAGTTTATCTGTAACAGCGGAGAGAACACGGGCGACCACGTCCAACTCTTTATATACGTTCACTTCAGGAGAATCATTTCTGGTCTTTGATTTTGAGCAAGGTGATCATCAAGGTGTTTGAGCAGAGGTCTGTTTGGGGTTTTACCCTGTAGCCTCCCAGATGTCCATGTAACTTGTCCCTGTGTACACGGATCCAGCTAACCTTGACCACAGTGCTGTTCAACACCTCCACGGCAACATCATCCGGTGCAGCGGAGGGAACTACAAGGGCAAATACACATTAAACTTTACAGTCCACTGGAACTCAGCCAAAAGCAGTCACATGTTCCTGCAGGTTCCTTCTTATATTTGACATAAGAAGATAACACCAACAATGTGCTAGAACCTAGTAACAATATGTGAATCTATTTCCTACTAAAGGAAGGAAACACTACAATGGCTAACACCGTTTTAAAGCCACAAAACAACAGTGAGGTTTCTCCACCTGATAGGACCTCCTCCTCAGGACAAGTCCAGAAGAAGGCTAGGTACAAGAAGTAGAGTAAATGGCTGCAAAACACCAGCTGCATACTTCATACCAAGTAAATTTTCCCTCAGAGAATGAATTTATTTTTCTCTTTTTATCTAAGACATGTGAGCTGGTATTCATATCTACTGAGGATTTATGGAAATACAAGAACAAAACAACCCGCACAAAAGAAATTGTTCTTAGAAGCTCCTTGTTCAAGACTTAACTTTTGTCTTTAATCCTGTTCTGTTTTGAAATAACAGAGCTAATATTTACCAGGTGCACTTGAACGGTGCCACCACGTAATATGAAAATACCAGAAAAATACCAGAAAAGAGCAGAAAATGTAGCTTAATGCAAACACACGCTATGTTGTTAAAAAATAGAAAAACCACACATATCTACACACATCGTGAAGTTACACTGACTACTCTGCACTTTGACAGCTCCAAATTGAAGCCAAAAGGTGAGTGGGAAGTCTGTGCCACTCTATCTCCTAATCTCCTGAAAAGCATTTAACTCTATGTCAGTAAACTGCAGACATCGAATCACTTTCATCCCACAGATTTATCTTTCCACTAAAAAACAAGAAAATTCATTAGTTTGTCTTTGGTCTAGTTCTAGGAGTTTAATTAAGGCAAAAGGGAATCGTTTCTGTTGATGGATTTAAACCGTAGTCACTTCTTTTCAACTTGTTTTTCTCCTCTGAAAAGCAAAACTATATAAACTCTGAATATAGCTGGGTTGTGCAAAACAGCAGCTCAGGATTTAAAGGCTGGTTTAGGATCAAAATAACGGAATAGAAATGTTGAGACTAAAGTTGAGCCTCACATCAGAACTGAGTGTACAAATTACTACAGTTCTCCAGCACAACTATTGTCACCAGCTCAGTTGTCTGTTGACGGCTTATCTCCATTGGACAGTTACTTGTGGACCAGGAGATCAAAACAATTTTTCTGGCGCCACCTGCAGGCAAGCCATCGAGTTGTTTCCAGTGGGTTGTTTTTTTTCCAATTCATTTCCTTTAATATGTAATTTTGTTACATTAATATAAAGTCTTCTTAGTTTTTACTGCGGTGGCACGATGAAGACAAGCTGGCGCTGCAATGGTGCAATCACTGCTGAATCTCTGTGTATTTCTTCAAGCAAGCGCAAATAAAAAAAACAGTTTGGGTTTATAACCAATCAAAGGCTAAGAACTGTTTAATGGTGAAACAGCCTGCAGTAGTGTCAGTAAGTAAAAGCTTAAGGACAATTACACAGCTTGTTTGTTACTATTTACTAGTTCTGATGAGTATTGGCCAGTGGTCAAGTTCACCGATAAACCAGTCGGTGGCAGGATTCTAACTATGAAGTATGAAGCACAGTAATGGTGTGGTTGTTATAGTTCTTACATTCAGAGAATCATATCATCCCAGTATTAATACAAAATTATCTTTACAAACTCATGAAAAACTGAATTTTACTAGCGAGATGCTACACAAGTTAAGTCACTAGGTGGCAGCAACTCAAGCAGTGATTTGTACAGATAAGAAAATACATATTATCCGGTTCTCAACAGTATTTCAAATCAGGGTGAGTGAAAAATAACCACTGGGCTAAAACAGCATTTAGATCCACAATATTATAAAAATGATTAAATACTTTCTGTGTGAAGTACTCACAGTCTTCTCCAGAGTAGCCTAAGACTATGTTGGGTTCAGGCCCCCAGCCCTGATGGTTCTTTGCTTGGATCTTGATTTCATAGGGTGCAAATGTCGGAGTATTCTTCACCACAAACGAGTGTCTCTTCACCATGTGCTCCGTCCAGACAAGATCCACGTCCTGCTGTCTGTAACTCACCTTGTACTCAAGACCAGGACCATTGTGCTCAATCGGTACCAAGGGCTGAAGCAGAGAAAAGGATGGGCAATGTGATGAGTGATGAATGAGTTTTATACAGACTTTCAAGGTTGCGTTAGACTGTTGTTGAATTTCGGCATCTCAATGTCACTGCATCTGTGGGATTAGGATGACATGCTGGTCCAGTGAACTGTGTTTGGAACATTGTCAGTGTTTTATCCTGCCATCTAATGAAACAATGGAACAATTGACCTGCTCCAGCAGAGAGGCTTTACTTTGATACAGGACCTGGAATCTCTTCACAGATGAAAAGATTTATCTCCGCACACAAGTCAGACCATGAGAAATACAATGAGATTTTTCACAAAGGCAAATCATTAGCAGCGGGAGAACTCATGAATATGGTTTCAGGAGCTGCGTTACCATGACAGGGCGACTAGATAATAGGCGAAGGAGAGGCTCATCTTTCTACAATAAAGCTGAATTTATTACTGTATGCAATAAGAGAGAAAAAAAAGGTTCCTTTCACAGCTCTCCTTTCTCTTTCCTATCAAAGGCCAAGCACCTTTCAATGAAAATGTTTTCACAGCAAGGCTAGAAGAAGGCTTTTCTAAAGATGTGGAACACAGAATGAAACATTAAAAGTCTGTCAATTCTTTAAACCCCTTTCTGTAATTGACTATTGAAAGTTAATAAATTCTCACTATTCTCTTTGACATCAGAATTGTGATGTGAAAGTGATTCTTTTTTAACAAAGCTAAGGCGGCCAACATTATACAGTCTTCACAAAAAGAAAAGATAACAAAAGAGCAAATTCTCCTCCTTACCTCCCAGTTGATATCCATTTCATGTGGTAACTGACCTTCGATTCGGATATTTTCAGGGTTCTTGTCAGGGGCTGTTGAAAAGAAGGGATATAGATTTTGTCGGTGCAGAGGAATAAATCTCAAGTAGAAATGGCACGCAAGAGAGCAGATTTTCAACAAGAGCGAATCAATTATGTAGCAACTCTGGTTGTTCACAATGTTGTAGGGCTGGCAACTGGAGGACCTTATCAAAAAGTATAATAAGACATGAAAAAAAGAGAAGAGACGGTGTTAAACCTGCTGGGGGAGTTTTGTATCTCTCTGTGGGCTCACTCGGGGCCCCCCTGCCCACAGTGTTGACTCCAGACACACGGAAGCAGTAGTCCACATGACCCTGGAGTTTGAGAATGGCCGAGTTGTGGTTCCCAGGTACTCGCAGGAGCTCCTTCCAGTTACCGGGCTCCCACTGGCTTTCCTCATACTCAATAATAAACTCTGTTAGAGCGGAGGGGAGAATAAATTAGCTGCTTGTCTAACCGCCAGCTGTGCAGGAAATTTCTAACACAGTCCTCTGGGTGTTTTTATCCCATGAGGAGCGTCATGATAAGTCATGCCTGGATGAGTCAATAATAAACTCATTGTGGAAGATATCAAACACATTTCTTCACATGGAGATCAAGCCCTCGAATGTGTGTCAACCTAGTCATTATGGAAAGCCTTCAGTGTGTTCAACCTGCAGACAGTTAAAGTCAAGCGGTCCTTCAGTGGTTGTTCAACCTGCAGACAGTTAAAGTCAAGTGGTCCTTCAATGGTTCAACAGAAATGTATAAAGTATATGTACATGGTTTTCACCTCATTATATTCTACTACCCCAAATGAACCACGTCAGAAATCAGTGAATATTTATGTTTTTCTCTGTATATATTTTTAAAGATACATATACATTAATATTTATATATTAATATATATACACATATTAAAAATATACATACATATAAAAATATATATGTATACATACACCCACATACAAACATGCATATATATATATATACATATATACACAAGCACACAGTAAATCACAGTAAAGCAAAAGGTACTCAAGTAGAAAGAAGACTTTCATAGATACTGAAGCAAGTACTACTACGGGCAACGCATGTCATTAATTCTATTTTTATGCAAAACCTGTCCTATTAGTTGTGTAATTAATGTTGATGATTCTTATTATTAAAGTCAGATAAGACTAAGACTAAGAGGTGAATTCTTCGGGCTTCTGGAAGCACAAGAACAGAATAAACAATAGGTGACACAACGGCTGTTGCATACTTTTGATAGTAATTAAACGTGATATTAAATTGTTCTGCTTGATCATCCAGCCCTGCCATAAATAATTAACATCAAGTCTGGGACCAGATTAACGTGTCTTTAGTAAACTTTAAGCTGGACTTCAAGCCTGGCTGAGTTTCTGCAAATCCCTCGTTCTGGTCTTCTCTACGAGCTACACAGGCTCTGTGTGGTCCAACAGAACTCCCATCACCAAACAGCTAAACAAAGTTTCACAATCCACACAGGAGCAGCCCTTAATGTTATCAACTATTATTCTTCTCTGCTCCTGCAGTGCTCTTCGTCCCACAGCTCCTCCATCTCTCTCTCAGCTGCAACTGTCCTCTGCTGTTCGCCCTCATTTAAATACTGCTATAGAATTCTAGCTGCATAGTTGTTCTCGCTGGTATTTCATTGTTTTTTCTAATATTGCTTACATTTGATGTCATCACTTCAATTATTTATATTTTAATTCTGTTACAAGGTGGCTGTGGATTAATCGCAATTAATCGTGAATAAAATGTAGGCATGTGAAGTTGGGGGACATATTCATTACTGTGCCTTAAGACAGTGGTTTAACAAGACATCCAGGTGTTGCATCTTTCAAAACCTTTAACGAAAACCATTGTTGTCAACAACTTT